GCAGGAGGGCGGAGGACAGCCGGTGCTCCCGGGGCAGCGGGCTCAGGCTGCAGACAGGCTGGGCGCAGGGCCGAGCTAGGGGCTGACTTTCGTCCCTGCCGGCCCCTCCTCACCGGCCGTGTCCTTCGCGGGGCTCAGACGTCCACGTTTCCGTGACGGTACTTGGAGGGGTCGTAGGTCTGTTTGCATGACGACGATGTTTTGACCCAGGGCATTCGTGTACAAGCAAGTGTGAACTTGAAGCTTTATTTATCCCGGGAAATGCCCAGCAGACGCCCTCGGCGCACGCTCGGTTCTCCTCCGGCAGGGATGTGGGAGGCCTGGTGGCGAGGGGTGTCCGCCAGCCCGCCTGGGGGGTCAGCCCGGTGCTGTTTGTGGAGGGGAGCATGGAGAGACTGACCTCTTCTTGATTTTCCGTCCTCTGTGTTTAGTTTACAGTAAAATAGAAAAACCGTGGGGGCTCACGGAGCCGTCATCCTGTGTTCGCTGTGAGAGTCAAGATTCCTTGGCTGAAAGTCTCATTCGCACTTGGCGTGCGTCCTGCGTTACGTGGGGGAATTCATAAGGGTGGCGCTCGGTTTTACCGAGATGACAGGTCCTTGTGATTTCTGTTTCTCTTAAGTGGGTAGTTTCATTTAAGGAAAACTTCTTAATTGTGGAATGAAGAGTTTCTGGTATTCTGAGGAGAGGTGTAATTAAAAATGTCCATCTCATTTTGAGAGAAATTAATATGCATTCAGTTCTCCTTTTCAGGTTCCCGATGAACTGATTTTTTCTTTACTTTTGTGGAGCAGAGCCTTCGTGGAGTTCTCACGTAATCCGACAGAGAGGTTTAAAACTCTTCCCGCGGTGTACATGGCGATCAAGATGTCTCAGCTGAAAGTTGCCCTGGAGCTGAATGTACACTCTGCAGAGGAGATCGAGGGGAAGGTCCAAGGAGGGGCGGTTTCGAAGCTCAGGAACACAAGGTATTTTCAGAAGGCGGGCGGGCACCCCTGTCTGCCTGCTGTCACAGTCTCAGATACGGCCGTTGTTGCTTTTAAGGCTTATTTATTCTGAGAGAGAGCGTGTGGGTGGAGGAGAGGGGGGTGGAGAGAGAATCTCAAGCAGGCTCTGCGCTGTCAGCACAGAGCCTGACGTGGGGCTCGACCTCCCGAACCGTGAGATCGTGACCTGCGTCGAAATCAAGAGTCAGATGCGGAACCGACGGAGCCACCCACGCGCCTCTCATTTTCTAAGCAAAGTGGAGTATTCTTTGTGGTCGGCAGAGTGGATGGTGGGACAAAAACGGAGATGCGTTGGGAGCACCCCGGTGCCGGCCCACACCAGCCACCCCTTCCTCTTGACGGGGACTCTCCCTCCAGCCTCGTTTGCTACAGGAAGGCTGAGCCGCCCGCGTGGCGGCCCCAAGCAGTGGCACTCGGCACTCGGCAGATGCTGTTGGGCGTATGGATTTGATTCTCTTGGACTGAGTTAAATCACCCTTCGGGATGTAACAGATGCCTTTGCTTTGGGTCACACTGTCCCAGTACCGTGTGGAGGGATTCTCAGTCCTCATTTAAAAAACAAATTTTAATGTTTATTTGTTTTTGAGCAAGAGAGAGCACGAGTGGCAGAGGGGCAGAGAGAGGGGGACACAGAACCCGAAGCAGGCTCCGGGCTCCGAGCTGTCGACACACGGCCCGACGCGGGGCTCGAACTCACAAGCCGTGAGATCGTGACCTGAGCCGAAGTCGGACGCCCAACCCAGGCGCCCTCAGTCATCATTTCTTATTTGTGATCTTTTTGATTCTGTGAGGACCTTGACAGGAATTTGGAATTGGTGAGGGAAGGAAGCACGTCCCATCGACAACTATTCCATGTTGAGGTTTTGATTCCGAGGCTCTGAAGGTGCAGGGAGTTGGGTCTGTAGCCCAGGGAGGGTGTGTCCTGCAGGGAGCTTTGCCTGAATCACCCTTAATAAGTGGGTCTGAAAGCTGGGCAGAGTTGGGTTAGGATCTCTCATAATTCTTCCACTTCATTTTAGAAAGAAAGTATTAGGAAAGGGGAATTGTATTTTTATCACATTTGTATTTCATGTCCTCAGACTTCAGCATTTGCTGTCTTACTGTTTTAAGAGATGAACTATGTCTCCATGGTTTACTAGAAAATCACGTATGTGTTTTCTAACATTGAACCAGGCATGGATTCTCGTACTTTAGGAAAAGTCAAAGTCACTCACCTCTGAAACCAGAAGTTAGGAAATATGGCAGGTCTTAGAATGTGTGCCCTTAAAAGTAGGTCTTCTGTAAGAGTCTAGACCTTTAGAATACACCCCTGGGGGTGGTGTATAACCCCTGGATGCATGCTCTACCCCCCCTCCCAACTTGAACGGCTTCGGGAAGCCATCACACACTCAGATTTGGGATGAAATCAAATTGTCATTGCCAGCTTACAAGATGTTCTTTTCTTGTGTTAAAATGGTTTTTTCTTGTATAAGTAATGGAATAGTTTGAGGAGTAACTTCACATATGTAAACGTGTTTTCTTTGTAACACCTGACTTTTATTGTCCTTTTTTTTTTTTTTTTTTAAATCACATTACATAGGGTGAATGTGGACTTCCAGAAGCAGACAGTAGATCCTATGCAGGTCTCATTTAACACATTCGACAGGTCCCAGACAATTACAGATCTTCTCTTAACAATTGATGTCACAGAGGTGAGATGGTGTGTCTGAATCATTAGAGCTTTTCTGTCTTTTTAACCTAGGATTGTCATGCTGTAGACATGAAATAGTGCATGTACTTGTACACACAGACACACACATGCACACAGCCTGTGCACCTTAGTGATCTAGTAAATGTGGGTGGGCTTGCATTATTGTACTTGTTAAATGGAAATGGAACTGTAACAGAAAATGAAACACAAATATTCTAGAATCAAAGTCTAATTTTTAAAACGTTAGGTACATTTAAAATGCCACTCTGTCTCTCAAAAATGAATAAACGTTTAAAAAAATGCTTAAAAAAGTGGGGCGGGGGGCACCTGGGCGGCTTAGTGGGTTAAGTGTCCGACTTTGGCTCAGGTCATGATCTTGTGGTTTATGAGTTTGAGCCCTGCGTCAGGCTCTGTGCTGACAGCTCAGAGCCTGGAACCTGCTTTTGGATTCTGTGTCTCCCTCTCTCTCTGCCCCTCCTCCACTCATGCTCTTTCTCTGTAATTATGTCATAAAAAAAAGTTTAAAATGCTAAAACATTAATTTCGACCTGACACGTGAAAATGTTCATTGGCACAGTGACGCATGCCTGTATTATTCAGTTTATGTCAACAGAACTGCCATCAGCATCGTCATTCTTTAAGGTGGTTTTTACTACTTTTTTTAATTGGATGTTTATATATTTTAAGAGAGAGAATGAGTCTCAAGCAGGCTCCACGCTCACATGGGGCCCAATGCAGGGCTGGATCCCACAACCCTGGGATGGTGACCTGAGTGGAAACCAAGAGTTGGTCACTCAACCGACTTAGCCACCCAGGCGCCCCTCCGTCTTAAAAAAAATTTCAGTGGAAATACATGTCTGCTTCCTGGTAAATCTGGCCACGCTTCATCAGGAGACTCCACGTAAAAACCTGGATTCCAGGCTGCTGGAAAACTCTGGCGGTTGCGGGTCCTCGCTGCACCTGGCAGCATGGGCGGGGGCCGCTCAGTGAGGCCTTTTTCGATGGAGCGTCCGCTCCTCCTCCTGCCACTTGTCACTGCTCTCGCAGGGGCCGTGCCCTCACACCACACCCGCCCGCGCTGCCCCCGAGGGCGCCTGCAGACTCTGCGGACTTGGCTCACCCACCCGGGGCTGCTCGCGGGTCGGAGCCTCTCGTGGGTGAGCGTGCTGGCGAGTCGCACACCTGAGAGGGGTCTGTGACACACCGTGGGTGACCCGCGAGCCCCGAGTGTTCTTGTAAGCACCTGTCAAAAGCCTGTAGGATCACTCGGGTCGCAGTACTGTGTGTCTGTCCTGCCGTGTGGGCTTGTGATAACCTTTTTATAGAAATCGTTTCTGGAGGTCACCTCTGCTTTGTTTCCTTCTTTTTTAGGTGGTTGAGGTAGGACACTTCTGGGGATACAGGGTTGATGAGAGAACCTCCAAGATTCTGAGAAAGCTCACTGCTGAAATAAACCGACTGAAATTGGTGCCGTTGCCCACGCACCCGCACCCGGACCTGGTCTGCCTGGCGCCTTTCACGGATTTTGACCAAGAGAGCTACTTTCGAGCTCAAATCCTTTACGTTTCTGGGAATTCTGCTGAGGTGTGTTTTTCTGTAACTAATCACGCAGAGGGAAGCGAGGCAAACTTGTAGCAGCTTATAGAAGATCTTGTCTAATTTTAAGTGGAAATTATAAAATCGTTTCAGTTAGAAAAGTAGCCTCGCAAAGCAGTTATTCCCCTCAGCCACGTGTGGATTTAAGTTCCGGTCACGAGACTCCTGCGGTTCCGGAGCTCAAGAAGACGGTTGCGTGGCGTGTGACCCTGTGCCGAAGCGTGTCCTCTCCCCTCCTCCAGGTGTTCTTTGTGGACTATGGCAACAGGTCTCACGTGGATCTGGATCTTTTAATGGAGATTCCCTGTCAACTTCTCGAACTCCCGTTTCAGGTAAGGCGCGAAGTCCCTGCGGCCTCAGTGAGGAGCTGGGAAGGCCTGTGGAGGCCACGTGGCCTGTTCTCCCCACGCAGGCAGACGGGGCCCCAGACTTGGTGGGGGGTGGGGACTCGCCGTGTCACACCGGCCCACGTCGGTGTCTGCCCTTCTCCAGAAACGTAGTGCCGCGGGCTTGTTGGCCGAACGAGTTCAGATACGTGCAGGGTTTGGCGCTTAGCGGAAGAGTAGCGGTTCAATTCCGTAGCGTTTTGAATGCCGTTTCCGAGGGGTCTGGTCGTGTTGCGACGAGCCAGAGCCTGGGGGGCCCGGAGACGCACCCGGGTGCCTTCCGTCCGCACGGAAACGTCCGGAAGGCGTCCTGAACTCCGAACTTCCGTTCCGGTAGAAGAGCAGCCCCGCGTTTCCTTTCCTGCGACGTCCTCACTTGCCCCCAGTTGTGTTTTCAGAGTATACACAACCCTTTCCTTATTTTTGGCGAAGTCTAGTCGACGCGAGCTTGACGTTCGTTTCGGGCGCACGGCGTAGAGGTTCTGCCACTCGGCACCTCGTGCCCCACTCGCGCGGGCGCGGCCGCCGTCCGTCTCCATACGGCACGATCGCGGGGCCGCCGACCGTGTCCCTCGCGCCGTCACCTTCTCTTCCCGCGACCTACCGCGTGACGGGCAGCCTGCCCTTCCCGCGCCTCCTCGGGCGTGCACCCCCCACGTCGACCTTCTCCGTCCGTCCGTCGGTCGGTCGGTCGGTCTGTGGGCCGCGGCGTGTCTGGGAGGATTTTGACGAGACCGCTGGCGCGGACCCCGGTTCGGGGCCTCCCGGCGGCAGCGTCCGGGGGGAGCGGCTCGCTCGGTCACGGAAGCTGGTCAGCCGCGCCCTTCTGTCCCGTAGGCGCTGGAGCTGAAGATCCGCGGGATGCGGCCCTCTGCCAAGTCTCTGGTGTGCGGCGACCACTGGAGCCTCGAGGCCGGCCGGCGCTTCGCCTCCCTCGTGAACGGCCGCGCCCTCCTCGTGAGGGTCTTCTCCGTGGTGCACGGCGTCCTGCACGTGGACGTGTACCGGTGCGCGGGGGCCCAGGACACCGTCAGCGTGAGGGACGTCCTCATCCAGGAGGGCTACGCCGAGCTCGCCGAGGAGCCCTACGAGTCCAGAGTACGCACCTCCGTCCTGGTGGCTGGAGCGCGCGTGTGGCCGAGAGACGGTGGGGGGAGAGGGAGGGGCGGGGGGGGGAGAGATGGGGAGGGGGGAGGACGGGGGCCCTGCTTTCCTCTCCCAGGATGCCGACGGGTGGACAGTTAGTGTGTCTGGCACCGTTTTGAAGGTCTAGGTTTCTTTGACACTAAATCATGGCGGCTGGGCGTCGCTTTGTTGGTTTCCTATCATTAAGCTGTTTTTTCCTTCTTGGAATGAAAGTTAGGTATAGAAAGGTTTTCCATTTGGGGAGTTGTTTTTTCTGTAACGAATTCTAAGATTTAGCTCCCTGATGAAAGTAATTAATAAACGTTTGTTCCAAGTACTTCACGTATTTCAAAATGATTTTCAACCGTTTCTTTCAAAATCCGTCCTGAAGCTATTTTTCTTGGTCGGAAGGCTTCAGAGATGCCACGTTTGAATCAAATGTCGAAGGCCATTCTTTCCCTTCTGTGGCGTCTGCTGAGGATGCAGGGGCTGGGATTAGGGAGAGCGGGGACCGGCGAGAGGGTGATAGCCGAGAGCCGGCTGGGTTTTGTGTTTGGTTACGCGAAAGCCACTTTAGGGATTCTGGCTGTGTCCCCGTGTGCAGCAGAGACTTTGTGTACGGAAAGTTCTCTTAAGAACTATTTCTCAGTCTCTTCAATTTTCTGATGGCTGAGAGGTAGGGAAGGCTGATGAAATTGAGCCTTAAACGAGTCCTGTCTTACTTCTTTTGTTTGAAATACTTGACAAGATTTTTTCCTGACCTTAAAGGCCTAGTAGTCAGCCTAGAATAAGGTCCTGCCTGTGAAGTACTTTGATTAGTTTAGAATAAAGTGCTTTCAGTACGGTTTTTTCTTCTGGCAAAATGAACTTTCCTTACTCTCTTCAGCAAAGCCACGAAGCTCTCAAGGGTCTCTTCTCCAAGTCCGTGGAAGACATAGCAGATATGTCTATGCCGTCACCCGTGAAAGATGACAAAAAGTACCTGATTCGGATTTTGTTGGAGAGCTTTTCTTCTAATAAACTGGGGGCTCCCAATTGCAAGGTAATTTATAGGAGTTGTTTTAAAATACAGCCTAGGGGCGCCTGGGCGGCTCAGTCGGTTGAGCCTCCGACTTCGGCTCAGGTCAAGATCTCACAGTCTGTGGGTTCAAGCCCCGCATCGGGCTCCATGCTGACAGCTCAGAGCCTGGAGCCTGTTTCGGATTCTGTGTCTTCCTCTCTCTCTGACCCTCCCCCGTTCATGCTCTGTCTCTCTATGTCTCGAAAATAAACGTTAAAAAAAATAATAATAATAAAAATAAAATACAGCCTAAAAACTTAAGATAATTTTACGTTTATGTGCTGAGTCGTAAGCCAGTGGTCCCGATGGGTTTTTCTCTTCCTGGTTTTTAATGTTGACACTTTTTTGGCCGTGGAGCCTATGTTAGTGAGGGGAGAAGCCGGGCCTGGCGTAAAGAGGTGCTTAGTCTAGTTCTTGTGTTTCAACCAGCCTTTCCTAAGGCCGCTGTGCCTGTTTGCCCCGGGGGGAGAGGGTGGCGTAGGGGCTGTGGAGAGCGGGACCCCGCAGGGGTGCCCGCCTGGTGGGAGAAGAGCCCCCCCTCCCCTGCCCCGGGCCGTGTGTCCCCGGCGCTCCCTGCTCGGTTGGGCTGGTCTGGTGCAGTGAGAAGAATACTGTCACTCAGGTGTTGGGCGACATTTCCTTTTTTTGGCCAGTGTCTTCCTGAAGCGTTCCTGTCAAGGAACGCTAAGCAAAGAGTCATCGTGTCCCCAGAAGAGCACCCGTGCCACATCTCTTCCCACCGAACCTGAAGGTGTCGTAGCTGAGGCGTAGCTGTTTTCTTTAACACATGAGCTGATTTTTGGATTTTTGAAATGTGTGTGTTTTTAAGTTTTTAAATGTTTATTTTGAGAGGGAGAGACAGAGCGTGCACGCATGAGAGCGCAAGAGCGAGGGAGGGGCAGGGAGAGAGGGGGAGAGAATCCCAAGCAGGCTCCGCACGTCAGCGCAGACCCCGTCGTGGGGCCCAGTCTCACGAACCATGATTCTCACGATCGTGACCTGAGCCGAAATCAGGAGTTGGATGGATGCCCAGCCGAGCCACCCAGGTGCCCCTAAATGCATATTAAGTGATAACTCGATTACTGGTAACACTCTGCATATTTTGTATATACAGGCAATACTTCACGGGCCTTTTAACCCTTATGAACTGAAGTGTCACAGTTTGACTAGAATCTCCAAGTTCAGGTATGATTAGCTTAGGTTCCCCGTGGGTTCCTTTTTCCTCTGCTCCCCTGTTTATAGAGCTTTTCAGAAACTAATCTTTATGTCTAAGCTCTTGGGACGTTCCCTTTTCCAGCTCCTTCTCATTCTCTCCTACCTCCAGATCTGAGGTACTCTTTGTCTCTTACATGAAAGCTGTTCTGTGTAAGACCTTTTTGAGAATCTTCCAACCAAGACTTCATTTTTTCTGTATTGTTATTCATTCAGCAACCCTGTGAATGCCACTGTGTTCTGGGAACTGTTTATGGTTTGAGGGGAACAATAGTGACCAAAATGCACTCGGTGTGATTCCAAAATTGTGGGTCCAGGGGGGGTGGTGTGTGAGGGAAAACCGGTCCTCCTGGGATGGGTTGGTGAGGCTCTGGAACATCATGAAAGCATCTCGGAGGGGCCCCTGACCACACCTGGAAGGCCACAGAGGTTTCCAGAGATCCTGTGACAGGAGGAATGCAGGGGAGGCTGAGGAGCAGCAGTGAGGGGCGGTGAAGGCTGGCTGAAGGCGTTGGCCTCGCTGTGACCCTGCACTTCTGAATAAGTGTGTGAGGCTGGAGGGAGGGCGGAAACAGAGGGGCTGCAGAGCTGTGTGGTGAGGGCGAGCTCCAGAAGCGAGGTCTCGACATCTGAAGCCAGTTGGAAAGTCTTACCGTGCCCTTTAAACAGTCGCTTGGCTACAAGGTAAACTGACGGCTGGATGCCTAGAGCAGGCGCCTCTTGGAGCCGTGAGGGGTGCAGCGCTCGGGCCCACCGGCCCTTTGCTAGAGCCTGCGGTTCCGAAAGGTTGGCAGGGGGTCTGTGGGCGCTTGAAGGTGTGCGGAGCACAGTAGGAAGAACGCACTGGATCTCGGAGGAGGAGGTTGTCAGGCAGGAGCGTACTTTGGAGGCTGCCCACTGCTGGAATCCCGGGTGGGGACATCGTGGGCCACGCTGAGTCCCCGGCAGGAGGTGCGGAAACAGACAACTTCATGAGAGCTCCCGGGTGGAGTCAGCAGGCCGGTGTGAGAGTAGAGTCAGTGACGCTGGAAGGGGAAGAGCGGAGGAGGGCCTTCCAAGTGGCCACGGGGCCTCTGCTGGCAAGGGAAGGGGGAGCCGGGGGCCCGCCTGCGCCATAGCTGATGGCCTCCAGGTTGGGAGCGCGGGACCCGGCCCCTGGGACGGAGGTGGCGATCTGGGCCTTGTCGGCGCGCGGTGTCGCTCGAGGCCGAGCCCTGCGAGAGACGAGGGTGGGAGCCGGCGGTCCCGGGGGAGAAGAGGAGGCGCCAAGGAACGCTGGGACGTTAAGAGGCTTGCACCTGTTGAGCGTGGCGCTCGCGCGCTTGCCTGTGTCTGTCGTGCCAGCTGCGGGTTGGACGGAGCACGCTGCCCGGTGGGTGGCTCAGCCTCTGTCTCCTGCCGACGCCCCTTTCAGGTGTGTTTGGATCGAGAAGGAAAGCATCAACTCTGTCATCATCAGCGACGCCCCTGAGGACCTCTACCAGAGGATGCTGGTTGCGGCCTCCCTGTCAGTCAACGCCACCGGTGAGCGGGGCTGTGTTCACTTGCCGCGTGCTCTTCTCCCTGCGCCGCTCTGTTACCAGGAGTGGTCTGTCCCGTGATGACAGCGAACGCATGTATTTGTGCCACAGTTGGAGGCCATTTTCTGAGCGCGCCAGCTGCTGCGAGGCTAAGAGACAGAGCATCACCTTTCCTTTTATACGAGGGTGCGGGTGTCGGTTTCTTGATGGGTCGGTCATTCGTTACATCATGCTTGTCCCCAGAGTAGAACAGGGCTTGGCCCTGGGACAAAGCCGATGGCCCAGTGAGAAGGAAGGAGGGGAGAGGAGAGGAGAGCAGGCAGTCAGAGGTCCCTGGCAGGTCTGATGGCGTCCGCTGTGGGGTGCCGTGGGGCGCATCCATG